AATATACAAGAAATTCATTTACCTTTTTAAATTACACCAACTCCTTGACGGCGATGTGGTGAAAGATTTAAAAGCTATTTATTTAATTTTTTTCCATCTTTGGTCCACACTCTTGTTTGCACCTTTTTATGCGCTTTTTATGCATTTCTTCCCTATGGACCTGTTCGCTATGCTGTTTAATTTTTTAACATGTTTATTGTGCCTGCAAATATTTATTTTCACAATGACTAGAATTGGGATATGTAGCGATGTATGTAGGAGAATATGTAATGGATTTAAATGTTTTACTTTTATTTTACAATATTACCTACAGTTGTTGCAGCTTTTAGCACATACTTGGATTAGGTTTTGAACTTATTTTTTCATTTATTTCAGATATATATATATAAGATAAAAAATATGAAATCAAACTTCTAAATTTAATTCACTATAACCTCTTTTATTTTTTATAGTATTTGTGAACTTCATCTATCTGTCCTAAAAATAGCGCTGTAAGTCGAAACTGCGTCGTTCAAATTAATCATGCGATCTTACCTAACCCTTAATACAGATGCCTCTTGACCAATCACCAAATTGTGAACCAAAACTAAAAACTGAAACTTTTGACTCCCTCCCTTCTTTATATGAAATGATGCGTCACTTTTTCTTGTGCTTTCCTCTTCTCCAGATGCTTTAGTGCAATCTGGTATGAGCTGCTATATTCTCTACTATGGCAATAATATCAAAATTGTAAACGTACTTTAATATGCACGAGTAGAGTGCCAAGTGAATTGTGGCCACAAAATGAGAATTTAAATAAAAAAGGAATTTAATCCGGCTCGACTGCTTCTTCTTCAAAAATGAATGGACGCTCTAAGCATCAAGTATCTACGCAATTCGTATTTCTACGCATCTACGTCTCACCATTCGTATTTCAGTGCTTCCAAAATTGTTCTGTCATTAAATTCTTCGGCCAGTTCTAATTATGAAAAATTCTGCACGAGGTTGTTAAGCTATTAAGCTATGTTCATAGTGAATCATGGGAAAAGTCCTGTTTCACCGAAAATTTTCATGTAAGCAAAGATTGCATTATTTTTCTTATATTTAGTAATTTTCTAATGTTTATTTCAACTACTTTGAATTATATTTCATAATGACAATTTCCAATGTTTAATTTTTACAAATAATATTGAACTCAAATGCATAAACACGAGGGTGTCGGGGTATGCTTACTCGAGCGGTATCACTTTTACTGCAATTGCTTTTCACTCAAAATTGAATTCGCTAAAATACTTAATCGGAATAAGTTCTTTAAATCTCTGCATTGGTTCTAAATCCCTTCTATTCACAAAAATTACTGGCCTGGCTTGAATTGCCGGTTTGGCATCCCTTATTGCTCGAGTAGAGGACGAAACACCTTCGTATTTATTTCTTAATTATTGTTCATTGAACGGGAGTTGGTTTGTTCCCCTTGAAAAGTCAACTAATTTCCGTTCAATGACAATGATTACTTGCATTTAATTCTTGCTTTTAATTTATTCCTTTTAAAATTGTTATTCATGATTTAATTCCAGTCCCCATTAAACATTTTTAACAATTTACATTCAAGTTACTTAAAAACATCTTTCGAAATAGAACTTACTAATTATGGATTCACTCTTTTCAGATCATTCTACTATAATTAATCTTAGGAGATAATATAATCAATTTTAATTAGTAAATAAATTATTATTAACTTACTTTGCAGCAATTGCGCAAGTAGTACAATAACTTAATATCGCACTAAATGAATTTAAAATCATACAACATATATATATATATATATCATAAATACAAAAAAGGGAATAACGCATCGAGTTTAAATAATTATTTATTTAGTTTACCAATATGCATAGTATCATATATCATTTTATTAATGTGCCTTATGTATGCAATGTATTAATAAAACAATTTATTTCGATCGATAATTGAGCTTATTTTATTCATCATATCACTTCATCGTTCTTTAATTTTCCCATCCTTGATCAATATTTACGATTACGTATATTAAATTTTAATTACATTTGCAAAAAAATAAAATAATTTCAGAAAAAATTAATTTTTTCCAAAACACCTATTAAGGCTAATAATATCTATAAATTATTTTGCGTAACTTTACAAGCTTAATTTCTTCTTCCTCCGCACACATTAATTGAACCTTGCCTCAGTGTGTTTTCTTTTGAATATTAATGAGAGATAATTAGTTATCTCAGCCTCCCTAAAGTTATATCTGATTATTCTTATGTTACTTCCTACGTCACCTGATATGCTTACTTTTTATTCAGGTTAATTTTTTATATAATCTGTAATCCTGTTCTTTCTTCATAATCAGAGTAAAGTGCACAGAAAAATCAAAAAAGCAACTAGAATGAATTGTATACGTTTTTGACGAATGGTTATTAATGTATTTTTAACTGCTTTATATTATATGTTGAAATTAGAAACTGAGGAATTTCCTTTGATATATTATTCAGGTTTTTTACATAGCAAAGCAATGGTTAAAAATATAAATTATGCGAGTGATTTGCCCGTCCAGCTAGTAAGTTATCCGTGGTTTGAGTCTTTGCTACAACACAGTTAATTTTTCTTCTTTCCAGCTCCGATAAACCTAGTTGTCATTAAACGGCCTTCCAGATTATAATGTGATAAATTATATAATTCGCCACCACCTATATTTGTTCGATTGGGTGTCGTGGTTCTCCTCATCTGCCGTTCAAAGGAAAATATAAGAATTTATCACATTCACCATGTGTGCGCTGATTGTCTAAGCAGTTCACACGTCCACTTAGCAGATAGAAGGTCCATGGTTTTAAATCCCGGCGACGGCACAGTTGAGTTATCCCCTTTCGTGTTCCGAAAACACAGTAAGATTTACAAATGCACTAATCTTATAAACAGATTCCGAATTAATCGTTGTAATATAGGGAGCGACGTTTTCGTAAACCGAAAAGCACAGATAATTCGATTGCATTTATTAAAAATCACAAAAAAGAATAATAGCTCACATTATAATCAGTTGTAAAATTAATACGTAATTTACCTGCACTTTCAAGCAGTTTAATCTTTAATCTGAAAAATAAATATATTCGTTTATGCAAACTAAATTAGTATTCAAAGTAAGAAGAATACATTTTAAAACAGAAACAATAGAGTTTTGTTTATATTACTTGGAGTCAACAGGAAATATAAATTAATCGTTGAACACTTAATTTACTTTTGCGATTTACTAATTAATTTTATTTGATGTTTCAAAAATGTTTATACATTCCAGATTATGCATGATTAAACTTAATATTTTTCTAGATAACGCTAGCTCCTGAAAATACTGTAACATTATCTGATATTACTACTGTTATCCTGCTCGTTTTGTTCTCCTTTAGATTTCCCCTCAAACTTTATTTTATTGTAATAGTTTGCAATAGTAAACAACATTTTTCAGATAAGATCCCATTAATCCGAAGCTCAGTTACTCAGCCCTGGTTCATAGCAGTTTCACAGTTTCAGCGTGGTTGCTTATTTGCCCAATCGCATGCTTTTTTCATTGGCCTTCCCTATCAGTAATATAGTAAATGGGAACTTTGATCAACTAGAAATCCTTTCACAAAAACATACCTTTACGGGCAGCTCTTGACTTCCCTTAATTAATAATACTCGACTTCTTTGTACTAATTAATTATCTGCTTGTTGTGTAGAAGTGTTATAATTAGTAAAGGAGCCCACTGGAGGTGAAGAACGGATGCAAATCAAGCCATGACTGAAAATGTCCCCATCGTCTGACCTCGAACTAAATAGCTATTATATACAAGGCAGCAAATTGGGATTTATTTTCAAAAAGTAAAAAACCTTACGCGCGATATTTTAACTAATAGTTCTGTCATATATTCTTCAAGAAGTAATTTTGAGAGTATTACTGTTATGATAAGGATTATAAACTTATAAGCATAATTAGAGCTTTAACGAGTTTGTAAATTTGATAAAGCTCAAATCATTGTTTTGTTTATTTATAATGCATTCCAAATTCTAGTCTTCAGTATCAGTAATCTTACCGTTGTTTACCGAAAAAGAAAATTTATCAGAAAAGATTTGGTTTTCTTAAAGAGGTGGAACCTCCGTTACAAATCTTAAATTAGAAGCGTTGACATCTAAATTAAGTTGCAATCGCCGATAAAGGCGATGCTTTTTAAAGTGAGTTATAAAAGGAAATTAGCATAAATTTATACATGTGGTCCTGAGACTGCAAAATTTACGATTTGGTGGTTTTCAACCAATATTAATTGAACGCCACTAGATTGAAACAAAATAAATTAATCAGGTTTATTCTGATCCACAATTTTTCGTCCAGCTTTTAACTTGAATTTTTTTCTGGTACGTTGATTTCAACTGCAAGTTTGAGGATTTCAGTCTTAAAATCCTGCCCCAGGTAAAATGAAAACTATGAATCAGCTAGTAATTGGTTACCGACATGTTAACCGTAACTAGTAAAGCAAGAATAGTAACAGGAACTGTTACCTTAATAAGGGTAGCAAGCTTAAAAGTTCTCGTACCTTTACACAGATCAGTTTCTAACATGGTAATAATAAACTTGAAGTGTGAGCCTCTTTATGCCAGGACATTACTATGCAAGTAGGATTTTCATTATCTTTGCTAATCCTATTTGCATAGTAGTGCCCCGCATCAAGACAAAAGCTGAGCTTTATAAGGGTGTGAATATCTTTATGTCCCTTGTGAAGGTTTCTTTTTGAATAGTGACCATTTTGCATTTGCTGTCACCTTTTTGACAAAGCTCTGTTATAAGGCAGTCCCGAGTATCAGAAGACTAAGTTTTTTTTTTAATCTTTATTCTTAAGTTACTACGTTTGATTCAGTAATGGTTTATTATGTTGCAAATTCGATTTACCTCCTTGATTTTACCCACTGTACTCATTATGGTTAATATGTTCGTAAAAATAACGTAAGCAAATAATATTTTTTTTATTTTGTAGGTTTATGAACAAAGGCCACCAAGTCGGAAAGGTTGGGTGGATTTATATGACCCTGTGGTATTCGGACATGGACGTAAAAGTTGGTTCATTAAATTGCCTCTAGCGGAAGGAAATTATGGACACTATCGCCACATTGCAGCAGCATACAATAATGTAAGACATATCTTTTAATATATGAGACCACATTGGTATTATGCTTATGCTTAATAATGCTACAGGTATTGAATTTCTCTGATGGTGGCAAAACTAACAAACATAACTTGCCCTCTTCGTTTAGTTCTATTTTAAGAAAAATTTCCTTATTTGATTTTTAACCTGGCTCAAACCTGGCTGCCGTGAGTTCTTACATCAGTACTGCACTATTTTCTATGAGTTTCAGCATATGGCCCTACAAGCAAGTACATTTCCAGAATGCATTAACTGGCTCATTCGGTACATGCAACTATTGTTATTATGGACTTTCATCAGCTACATATTTGAAATGAAATTTTCCGTTAGCCATTATAAACAAGTATCAAGTATCATTAACTAGAGACATTAGGATTTTTTGAAGCAGCAGAATTGAAAGATGAGGAACGCCTTCGTCGGGAATCGAACCGCGGACCTCTGGAATACGCGCCCAGCGTGCAGACCACTACACCGCGAAGGCACGGTAAAAAGGCGGGAGAAATATCCTGGACTTGATTTTGTGATTTTGTAACTGAATTACATATTTGCACATTACATATTTGTATCACGTGATTTGTACATGAATTAAATATTTTGTAACTGAATTTCATATTTTCTGAATTGCATAATTTAAACATTTTTCTGTATACCCTTTTTTCCCAAGCATCGGTGACGTGGAACGTTTGTGGAATCTTTGCAAATACCTGCTCTTTTATCCTAATGATTGATCTCCAAATACGCTCTTAAAATAATGTTGAGAAAAATAGCTTAACATTTTCAATACTGAAAATGGAATAGTTTTATAAAAGTAAAATCTAAATTTTTACACAAATCACGAGGAATGCAAATTTCACTTAGTTAAATATTTTACGTGTTTCTAATTCATTGAAATTTAAATAATCCATAAATAATCCACGTTCGTAATTCGCAGTGATATTCAAAATGAGTTTATAATTTAATTTAACTTAATCATTCTTTTATGCGTGTAACCAATATAATTTAAGACATTTGGGAAAACTATAAATAGTAGCTAGAAATCCCAGCTTGTTCCTTTAGTGAAGAATAGTTTCGTTTTGGCCAATATAGCATTTGTTATCAAATTTGTAAATCGCTCTCTGAAAATATTTATTAAGCATATCTCTGTGAATTTTGCCCATGCCGAGAATTCAGCTACTTGAAGTATAATGAACATTTTATATGAGAAAGTGTAATGGACAGCGAACTCCTGATAATTACCCTTTCTCATGCCCCTTAACCGAAGATAATTCCATAAAACTCCCCACAAAGTTATCTCCTGTCATTCCAAATGCTTCTAAATAAAGATAAACATCCTTATCCGAAATTTCAAAACATTTTGTAACGACTTTGCCCTTACTAGATGCTTGCACTTAACTTACATATGCTTTCTGAATTTAAATAATATTGCAAATTAGTTCGCAGCAACAGTTAATCACTTTATTTGTTTACAATTTAATTTTCATAATTTAAAATTTTAATTAGCTTCGTGTAATATATAGATAATGATACTGTATTTGTTAAATTCAAATTTCATTTTACTAATTAGTTTCTTATGCAACAATATGTATATATATATATTTATAGAGTGCCCACAATTAAATTTCTCCTAGTCAGAACTGCCTACAGCCGTAATTAGCAATCAGAAAACTACAAGATAATATTTTGGTTACCGTTTTGAATTCATTCTTTACTACACAACTTCTTCCTTTGGGGCATGAATCTTTTAAGATGAATATCTAAATCTGATGACGTATTAATAGTTTGCATGGTTAATCTTTAGATTATGGTAACTTGGTGATTTTTTGGAGAAAATTTGGCGACCAACCCTACTCCAGCAACCTGATAGTTTCTGTTTGGACGCCATTTTGTTTTCACGAAGTAAAGGCATTTTTTTTTTTTAACTCAACATTTTTTTCCAACAATCTGCTAGCCGAATTACGCTTATGCTAGAACTTTTATGGAACAAAAGTGCTTAGTCATGACGAAGATTAGGTGCGAAATTGGGAGAAACTGCAGAATCGCCCACTTCTTGCCGCGTTTTTAAGAATTGCACATACACGGTATCATCCATGTACACGTCGACCTATTTTCACTTGAAAAAATCCCAGAATTCCACAAAAATGGCATTGCGCACACTCTTGACTTTATCCATGTACACTGCTAAAGTCCTAGCTAATAACCTTTATCGCCTTACCAAAATGTCACCAAACTACCTGTTACCATATTCCAAAGATTAGCGTTTGCAGATTTTAAAATCGGTTTGTGTACAAATATTTTGTCTCAACTACGAATTTCGTGACGACTTATTTAGAAAATATAATAACGTTATTTTGATGCCACTTTAAATAAACGTACTATATCGAAACTGCGTTTAAAAAAAGACAAAATTAATATAAAACATTTTTATTTCCTTCTGTCACTTTTTAAAATGCCTCCATCTTTCATTTTAGAGATTTTTGAATATATTGATTCAGAAATTTGAACAAAAAAAATAAATCTTAGAAGAGCCTTCTATTTGCTAAAAGTTTGCTTAGTATGAAAAGCTCCCCCCCCGCCTACAAAAAAGTATTGTAACTATGTTAAATTAACTTCGTTTATTCAGTTTTATATTTTTAAAGTAAGAAATTTTGTCTGTATAATTCCTTTAAAATATTCAGATACGTGTAATTTTGTTTTATGAAATACTTCATACATTTCGTAGGTTTTTTTCGTTTAAAAAATTTTCTGATTTTTACTGTATCAAAGTTGGCACGTATGCTTAGAAGTTCATACCTCATAGTCTTTAAAACAAATGAAAAAGAAAAACAAAAGCTTGTATGAACGTTATGATCAACTTTCGTAAGATAACTTATTCAAAACACAAGTATTTATACACAATATTTCAAAAGGATTTGCTATTTGCTTTATTAAATATTAAAATAAATTTTAAATAGCTTAAATATTTATACTATTAAATATCAGATTTATATTACGTTAAATATTAAATATTTTCAGCAATATCTGAAATTTAAATGACGTAATAAAAACTGAAATTCTCCGATGCGAAAACTGCCACAAAGTTCTAGTATTCTCACGAATTGTAGAAACTAAGTATATTTCATTCATTCTGTTTCACTCTGCGAGATGGGAACTACAGTGTACACGTATATGTCATTCCTTGGCTTTTACACTGATTACGAAGCCGGAGGGCACAGTAAATCCAGAAATCATTCTATCGGAATACAGATTGAATATTATCAACGAAATTACGATGTGTTTACCGTAGTGTCTTACCGCTTGTCCATTCCTTATATTGAATTCTAATTATGCGTTTCATATGTTATTGCAGTCGAGACATGTGGATTACTTGACAGAAGGAAGATTTGAAGTTACAAAGATTGCTGCATATCATGAGGGCTCAAATACGATGTAAGTATTTGTACTAAAAAGTAAGTTAATAAACTTGCTTTTGCTTAAATATAAAGTGTCTAGATATTCATAGATAAAACTCTTTAACTTTCGTTGCAGCTATAATGAAATGTTTTAATTCTATATCAAGAGAAGATAAAAATTAAAACATAGTAATTGAACTGAAGCAAGACATTTATATCGTGTATTAATTTCATATCTGAATATGTAGTTTAACAATGTTAAAAGGGGTAATGGTTCAATATTATTTGATTTATAGTAAAACTATGTATAAAAAATTGTCACGTTTGATCACGAATTCACGATTCTATTTTTCACGAGTTGGGAGAGCATCAAATTAATCAGAATATACTAGTATAATCAAGAGTCAATATACCATTTTCACGTAAAGACTCAACTTGAAAAGAACTTCCAGTTGAAACACAGAAATTTAATGAAGCGCTTATGTACATTATTACATTATTCAAAGCACAAAATATATAATATAAATTTAAATTTCCCCATCATAGGGCCAAGATTAGTTATCAAGAACAATTATTATAATTGTTGATTACCGCTATGCGGCCAAGAACAGATCATTTCAAGGCGTCGCAACTCAAGCTAACTAAAAGAGTATTACATTCCTTCTCTGCCGCCAGTCACGTGACCTAGTCGGCGACAGACGATAAAAAATAAAAGAAAAAATGAATCCATCGGAGGGAAAAAGAAATAATTTCAACAAACTCCCCCCCGATGAACAATAGGTTCATCATAAATTTAACTAACTATTACAATATTACTATATAACAATAAGAAACAAATAAAAATTACTTACATATACAGGTCACATTATATCAATAATTTCTTAACATCAAGAAAATTTTTTCTGAAACTATAGAAAAAACAAAACATTTAAATTAACATTTCTCAAGATCACCACAAATCATTAAACCAAGGAAAATAATAATGAATAAATGAAAACATTATGAAAAAGAACATTTTTTTTTTTTTTTTCATCAGTTTATCAGTCATTCAGTCCAATTTTTTTAAACCAGTCACTGATTATTGCAATTACTGATATCATCAATTTCTAAATTGTACAATAGCTGCACTGGACGTTTGATTACCGAATTACCAGTTTTCACTTCACACGATCTGATCATTCCATCTCTACCAATAAAGGTTTTGGTTATTCTTCCTAATTTCCACCAGCTTCTAGGTAAATTTTCATCATGAACAAGTACTATATCATTTACGTTGAATGCAGATGGTTTCTTCTGACCGGTATAATGAGCAGATCTCAAGCACAGGAGATATTCTTTTTTCCATCTGTTCCAAAAGTGATTTATTAGATTTTCTCGTGTACGGAAACGTTTTTTAACATTACTTCTCTGGAACCTGGTAAATTCAAGTCATTCCTCCTTACAGCTGGCAAACTCAAGAGTCGTTTACCAATCAACAGGTGGGCTGGAGTAAGTGCGGAGGGCTCTTCAAGATCAGAAAAGACGTATGTTAATGGACGCGAGTTTATCATCATCGCTTCTATTTCAAGCAAAAGCGTTTTCTAATTCACTTTGAGTCAAAGATGATTTCCCAATGTTCTTTCTTAAACTAGTTTTTACACTGCGAACTAAACGTTCATAAAAACCGCCCCACCAGGCAGCACGTTCCACAATGTATTTCCATGTGATTCCATGCGAAGCATAAAATTTTTTAACTTCAGGGTGGTTAATCACTTTCCACATTTGCTTTAATTCAAGTTCGGCTCTTTTAAATGTTCTAGCATTGTCCGAGTACACAGTGGAACACAAACCTCTTCGGGATACGAACCTGCGGAACGCAAGTAAAAATTCTTCAGTGCTCATGCCTTTTACGAGCTCCAAGGTGAATAGCTCTTGTAGTAGGCGCAAGTAAACAATAAAATGTAGTATTTGTTGTCATTTTCTTTTACATACAAAGGACCTGCAAAATCGAGTCCACAAATTGCGAAAGGTGGATTCAATTCATTAACTCTATCCGCTGGAAGAGGTGCAGTGATTTGTTGTCCAGGACGTACATTATATTTTTTTCATATCAAGCATTTACTCAGGATTGATTTGACGTATTGTTTTCCTCTTAACTTAAGAGCCAGAATTTTTCACGTATATGCACTAGAGTATCCGATACACCCGTATGATAAACCTTTTGAGCGTCTCGTACTACTAATTCACTTAATTTATGTTTTGAAGGGATTACTATTGGATGTTTGTTGTTAAATAGTAGGTTTGACTTTTGTAACCGACCTCGTACCAAAAGTAGACCTTCATCTGATAATATGGGATTTAATTCGAACAATTTTGAATCTTTTGGAATATGCTTGTTTTCTCTTAGAGACTCTATAACTTCAGGAAAACTATCTTCTTGAGCTTGTTTTAACCAAAAGGTTTCAGATTTACTGATTTCTTCTGCTGAAATTTCCGCAAAATTTCTATTTTCCCTTTTTTTTACTTTTAAATTTGATATAAATCTGAAAATCCAAGCAGTCACACGATAAAGTTTTTTCAAGGAACTAAATTTTGTCAAATTCATGAGTGGAACATTTTCAGTTTTGTCTGTTTTGATCAAACACGCTAGGATAGCTTCCGATTTTCGAGATTCTTCTGATACATCATGTAATTTTGACGTCGATAGTTTGGGTTTTGGCCATTGACTTTCAGGTAACGAAAGAAATGCAGGGCCATGCCACCATTTCGAAGAATTTATCAGTTCTTTTGCAGAACAACCCTTTGTTATTAGATCTGCAGGGTTGAGTTTTCCTTCCTTCGCAATGTCTCCATGAACAAGGATCTGAAATTTCATGTATTTCTGAAATTCTATTAGCAATGAAAGGTTTCCATCTTTTAGCTGTACCTTTAATCCAATGTAGAACTATTTCCGAATCTGACCATAAAATGACATTTGAAATATGTAGAATATTTTTCAGGTAGTTGGCAACCCTAGCACCCACCAGTGCTCCCATCAATTCAAGGCGGGGAAGCGTTAATTTCTTTAATGGTGCAACACGTGATTTTGCCAAAACAAATGTAGTTTCAAATTTATCTTCATCAGTTCTGTATCTCAAGTATGCGACTGAGCCATACGCATTCGGATTAGCGTCACTAAAAATGTGTAACTGAACAGTGTCCCTGTCTAAATTTGGTACATGAAAATAATATCTGGGAATTTTCAACATTTTAAGTTCTTTTATTTCAGAGAGCCATATTTTCCAGTCATTTTCGAGTTCTCCAGAAAAGATCTCATCCCAAGGTACCCTTTGAAGCCATAGCTGTTGCAATAAACATTTAATTCGAATTACAAAGGGTGCGATAAATCCAGATGGGTCAAAAATTTTGGCTGCTATTTTTAATACATTACGTTTGGTACATTCAGTGTTTATAGAGGACAGTAAGGGTGTTAATTCTAGTCCTAAGACATCTTCATCATTGTTCCATATTAAACCTAGTACTTTTAAGGATGTACATGGAGTGTCACTATTGAGAGAGATTAACTTTTCCTCAAGCCATTTCTGCTTAAGCTCTAGGGAATTGGTTTCGAATTTTCTTAGATTTAGACCTCCTTCAGCAAGAATTTTAACAGATTCATTTGATAGATTAAGCGCTTCTTCAACAGTTGTCGCTCCAGAAAATAGGTCATCCACGTAAAGATTTGAGTTAAGCATTTCAAAAGTCTTAAAGTTAGAATTCTTGTACTTATCAATGTGATGTTTTATTGTGCAGGCAAGGATGAAAGGACTACAAGTTACACCAAAGGTTGCTCTTGTCATTTTGTAAGAAATTACACTCTCTTTTCTATCAAGGTTTTTAAAATAAAGAAATCTCAGATAATCTCTGTCTTCTTCTGCGATTGATATTTGAAGGAATGCCTTTTCGATATCTGCCGAAAAGGCGATCCTATTTTCGCGGAATTTCAAAATAACGTCCAAAACATTTGGATTTAGATTTGGCCCTGGGTGAAGACAATCATTGAGAGAAAGAGCATCATTTGATTTTGAAGAAGCATCGTAAACGATGCGTACCTTTGTTGTTGTTTTGTCGTCTCTAATTACAGGATGGTGAGGCATATAATAAGAATTAAGTGTCGAGCTGTTTTCAGGGCATACTTCTACAATTCCTAAATGTTCTTGTTCCCTGAGAATATTGTTGTATTCTTCAAATAACATTTCATTACACTTAAATTTATTTTCTAGACTAGCAAATCTTCTTTTAGCCACTTCAAGATTATTTCTCAATAAATCGCGAGATTTGCTCCATAGTAACCTTGCCTCATAACGACCATTTTTAAATTTCAAATTATTTTGAAAGTCATTTATGATTTCTAAATCACTAGAATTCTTTTCGTTATTCTCAACAATACCCATGACTTCTAAATCCCAAAATTTCTTCAGTTCATCATTTTCACTCTCAACTGATACACTACAACAATTTATTCTTCTATCTTTTGATTCTATCTGCCCCTGAATAGTATGTCCGAAAATAGTTTCTGCAATGTATAAATGCTTCCCAATTTTTCCCACAATACCTAATTGAATTTGCCATAAAAAGTCTGACCCTAGTAAAAATAGTTATTTCCCGTTCATGCCCTGTATCAGCAGGATTAAATCCTCTCATTTTCAAGCGTTGAATCAAACCTTTGTCTGGAATTTTGACTGTAGCGCCAGTTATTTTTTCAACTACCAAGGCTTCAATATTTATGGAATTGCTTGGTTTGCGAAACATTTTGTAATTCAAGAGAAACTACGTCAAATGATGATTCTTGTGGTTTTCGTCCGCCAAATGAATATACTAATAAATTTTCTTTTCTAATAGGCTTTAAATTCAGTTTTCTTACTAAATTTTCTTTTATAAAGCATTTTTCTGAACCACTATCACACAAAACCCTTGCATGGATTCTGTTTTCACCACCAGAGACACATACAATACAAGTTTGGAGTAATGTAGAAATAGTTTTATTTTTCTGTTCAGAAACGCAAGATACTAAGGTTG